CCTAATGTAAATTAATTTCATATTACTATTTTTATATAGGGGGATAGTTCTATATATCACTTAAGATAACAAATGGGTTATTAATTATGATCACATTACAAATGACTAAATTTTGAACCCTGAAATTCTTGGTTATACCAATGTTCACTTTGTCTGGTTTTGTTGCAGCATGCCCCATATATCATTCAAAAATATATTTCCACAGGTGTATTGCTCCAAAAATTTGATATTAAAAAATTAATGTTAATGAACAAAAAACCAATGTTAGTAGCTGTTCTGAAAAAGCTAATATTGTAGAAAAAATAGAGAAGCATAACAAAGGAAAGACAGTATTACTTTTATCTATCAGAACATGTTCTATCATCTATCTACAGATAAAATTTCCTAATATGAATGATGATGACTTTACTTGTGTCTGTTTGCTAAACCAGATAGTGTAAATTCAAAAAGTTTAGCTGCAGGTATAAAGGAACTTCTTACAGGAAAAAATACTCAAGCGCCTCATCATAATTAAAAGATAAAAAACATGATACAGTAACTGACTTATATCCAGTTGAATGGCATGAGGAAGCAGAAGCAAAACCAATCATTGTTGTAGAAGGAAGTAATGTTTTATCATATAAAGAAATTATAAACATGGCTAATTGAAGATTTATTGTGTGCAGCTGATGACCTCCAGTTAATTTGAAGAATTAAAAGATCTCCTTATTATAAGATAGTTGGTGAAGAAACTATGGGAAGGATATTCCTGAAGCCTTTTATTTGTAGACAAACATAACCAAACCATAAGCACATTCTTCCTACTGAAAAACATGCTGATAAACTTGTCAGAAATTTGATAAGAATGCTGAAAAAATTGCCAAATTCATGGATTTATATTTAACAATCAAGAAGAATTCCAAAAGCAATCAAAAGAAAATAGCTCATTATCTAAAATGAAATCCTATCAACAAAGTGAAAACAGGCCAGAAGGGAAGAAATTAACCCTTATTGAATTTATATTTTTGGATTAATTACTACAATGGAAGTTGTTAAATAATTACAAAAGTTACGAAATAGGAAAAGAAAATAGCAAGATTACATTATATTGATAGTATATAATGGTGATGACTTAAATTTTGAACCCAGAAATTCTTGGTAGTACGAATGTTCGTATATGAGCAAGGCTACTAATAAATATTATTATTACAGTACTATTATTACATTCTAGATTTTTTTTTTTTTACAAGAAACAAAAATAAATAAATTTTCTTTCCATCCACTCATTCACCATTATTAAATTATAGCTCAAACGTTTCATAATGAACTTTAAATAAACAAGTTTCATCACTCTCGGTCACAGAAGCATTTCTAACTTTCCTCCTCATTATGGCTGGTCCACAAACACCAACTGCAATATCGCCAGCCACATGATATTGTTTAACGTCACGTAATAACAAATTAAAATCAGGTCTACCGAGGAAGAACAACGAAGACAGTGGTGTTGATATTGTGGTTGATTTAGTCAAAAATATCTTGACGTTTAATAAATATTTGTTATTTGGTAATGCTCGACTCTTTGATATTAATTCTTGTAATTCAAGTTCAAACCAACTATAAGAATCTAAGAAAATTTAAAAATTAAGATTAAAACTGAAATCATAATAATGATGATGATGATGATGAAAAATAGTTTACTATTTACCTAAATGAGGTATTAACCAACAAAAATGGATTGTTTGGGTTTTTAATGGAATATTTGTAAGTTGTCTATTAATTAAATCATTTAATATGCTAATCAGAGGAGTAACTCCAATTCCTCCACCAATTAACACGACTGTACTATATTGTGCAAAATCAAGACTAGGTTTGCCATAAGGCCCGTCGACTTTTAATTTGAGTGGTGGTAATAATTGTTGTTGGTGTTGTTGTGATCTGATATACAATTGGTTAGAAAATCCTCCTTGAGATTTCATATGAAAACTTGCCATATTGTTATTATTGTCACTATTATGATCATCGTCATGCGCGTTGATAATACTTTTGGAGGAAGAAAATGAAATTGGGTGCCATGCAATCAATGATGTTGGTTGGTTTAAATTTGGTATATTTATAAACATATATTGACCTGCCGAGTAATAATAATTGAAATCAAATACCACTTTTGTTACGTTGGCTTGCATTGCTTCTATCGATATTATTTTAACATCCTTATATCCTATCAAAGACCTAATTATTCGATCAATTACATATAATCCAACACCGACACAAGTGAATGTGCTAAAGTTATCATTGTGTAATACGCCGAATATCACAAAAAAGATAAAATTAAAATGTGACCAATAAAAAAATTCAAAGAAACGTCTACGAAATAATGGATGAGATGTCAAAAATATTATAAACAATGAAACATAGGACAAAAATCCCCATAAATTAATTTTATCTGAAAATATTTGTGATAATGAATTGAAGTTTTGTTGCATTTGATATGAACCATGAAATGTTAACAACAAAAAAATTGTTTTACCAACCCATCGATGAAATGTGATTAATCTTTCAAATGGTACCCCAAATAATACTACAAATACTGAATTACGCGTTGCCAATGGAAATACAAATGCTGCATTTGCTAATGCTATATATGCACTTCTATTATATAGATCTGGCACCGTACTAATTCCATCTTGAAATGGTAGATATAAAAATATCAGATTCAAAGTAATAAATATCACCAATAATATTATTTCATTTATTGAAATTTCTCCAATTAAAGTGTAATCCAATACATAATTTAATATTTTATATATCCAAACAGTTATTTTAAAATGTATAGCAGTGTTGTTTTTATTATTATCACTATTATCCTTTACTGTGTCAAATTTTTCTTCATAGGATGGTAAATCCGGTAATTCTGGCCATTTTGAACCTGATAATAACAATTTTACTTGACTTATTTGATATATAGCCGAAAGAGCTACTACAATACTTAAAAATGTAAGACATTGGTAATATCCCGCTACAAAATTTGGTTCATCCATTGTAAAGAAGTAAAGGAAAAGTTTGATAGGTATATAGAAATTATGAAAATGAAAGGAAGTTTTTATATGAGGCCAGCTCAAAAATTATATGTAAAAGAATAAAGGAATGGGAGGAAGAATAAACCAAAAAATTTTATTCGAATTATATATTCAACATATAATATATATGTGTATGAAAAGAATTTTTATATTTCTAGAGTTGAAACACCTAATATTAATATAATTAATATATATACATCACACGCGTGTAACAATAAAATGATTTTTTTGCAAATATGGTAAGAATGCAAATTAATAATTTTTATTTTTTATAATTTAAGACATAATTAAAATTAAAAATTAAATTAAATAATAATGTAACTATAATTGATTAAAATAAGAATTTAATTATAAACCAAGTTACTGTATAAAATAAACAGAACATGATTGATAATAAACTTGTTCTAATATGAATTGGTAAATTATTATAAAGTTTTCCAGAATTTGGAATTGCAATATTGATAATATCGGGAATGACAACCATTACCATATTATATATATTTTTATCAATTTCTTTCCAACCAATAAGACAATCAGATTGATCGTCATCTATATAGGTACCTGGCATTGGTGTTTGTGTTAATTCTAATGTACTTTTGTTTTTCATTATAACATTTGATGATGATGATGATGATGATGATGATGTATTGTTACTGTTGTTGTTGTTTGTGAAATCTAGTGGTGCAGTGTTTGGTGAAGTGTTATGTTGCGTAGAAATAATTTTGGTGGTGGTAGGTGGTAATAATGATGGCGCAGAGAATCTTGTATTAACAACCGTTGGTGTTTTAACGCTTTCTAAATAAACAGAAGGTTGACGTGATAATGATAGATGTTGTTCATCTTTAGTAGTTTGATTTTCTAAAAAAAAAAACAATTTATTTAATTAAATAGTAATAATACCAGTTTTTAATAAAAAAAATAAAAACAATACTTACTATCGATTGTTGAATAATGATAAACTAATTTATGATAAGTATCTGGTGAAAAATTAATCGGTTTAGGAAGGTTGTTAAATTCAAACACTCTGTCGGTATAGATGGCTTTAGGATGCCTCCATTCGATTCCTTTTTTTTTCTTTTTTACATAATCATTGATACGAAATTCCATTCCTATGTTGTCAGATGATGTTGCCGGATCACTGCACAAATCCAGCCAAGATTGTAACCAGATATAAACTTCTTCAGCTTCTGGTCGATTGGCAGGATTTGCATCCCAACATCGATTAATCAGTTTACCGAGTGAATTTGGCATTTCAGTAGCGTTGATATGAAGTCTAAGTCCACAACAGATACGTTGAGCAAGTGATATGTCATGAGCATCCAAATCAAATGGCGGCAATTGTGTGGCGACTTCCCACATAACAATGCCTAAACTATAAATATCAGACGCCGTAGTCAATTTTCCACCACATAAAACTTCAGGAGCAATATATGGTAATACGCCAGATACCATATTTGAATTTGATAACGATGGTTGTTGTGATATGTTTGATACCAGCGTATTGTTCATTAATCTTACTATGTTACCAGTATGAAGATTTCCATTAAATAAATTTTTCTCATGAAGACGATGAATAGTCAATGCAATGTCCGCTAAAATTTCTAGTTTTGTTTTCCAGTCATGTTCAATGTACGGTTGAGAATCATATAAATAGGATTGCATTTCCGTTTGTGAACAGCGAATTACCAATCCATATTTTCTAGTTTCTGGAATTTGGGATATTCCAAAGCATCTAATTAATCCATCAACACCATTTTTATGAGAAGAAAACTTTTTTAAATAAAAAATAATTAGTCTATACAATCGAATCAATCAATCAATCAATCAATCAATCAAAAAATTTAATTATTCACCTCAGCTAATAAATCAAAAGAATCTTTTTCGTCATATTCTTCAAAAACTTTAATTATATATTTAGTTTTAACATCGCTTCTTGCCCAATTTTGTGTTGTATTGTCCCACTCTGTTATGTATCCATCTAACCAGATTGCGGAATAAGCAACACCAAACCGTCCAGTTCCAATTGTTCTAATATCTGTAAAACGGTTCCACGGAATCCATTCAATCACCTCGGAATGATCAGTAGCAGAAAATTGTATTGTTTTTATGTAATGATCAATTTCTTTATTACTGCTAGTCCAAGTTGATAAATTTTTTTGAAAGCGTTCAGAATTACATTTTTTACACCAGTGTTTTGCTGTTTTCAAGTCACTAGTGGTATTATTATTACCACTACTGCTGTGATTACACTCTAAACATGTTTCAATTTTTTCATCAATAACGCGTCGTTCAATTTCTTTATCACTGGCTGTTGTTGTAGGTATGTCTTTTAAATTGAAAGAAAAATAATGATTTAATTTTGTTGTTGCGGGTTGGATTTCCATTTTTTACAAAAAAATTATGGTTGTTTGTTTATAATATATGAAACAGGGAGGAATGGGTAATATGTTGAAGTATATTGTAATATGATAAATAATGTCACGATGAAAGACAGTGGTAAGTTAGTAAAAAGTAAAAAAGGTAAGCAACATACTCGTGGAATGTAAAAATATATATTTTAACTTTAAAAAGAAGAATAAATGTTTAGTAATAAAATATGAAAAACAATAATAATTTGTCAACATGAAATATAATAGGTTTATTTATCATTTTGTAAAAAGAACACAAATATAAACAACAATGAAAACTTCATTAAACAAATTTTATTAAATGAAAATCCGACCTTTTTAGGGATGTGACATGGTCAAATTAATTTATTTAACACAGAAATAAGATTGTAAATAAACAGTGGTACGGGAAATAAGACGTTGTAGAAGAGTGATGATCATTATACATGAGCGAACGAACGAACAGATCGAACAGATCGAGTGAGCATTGAGCTGATAAAAAAATCAATTTTTACTAAACACAATTTTTTGGGAAGCATGAGA